GTGCCCAGTGTGAGTAGACAAAAATTTTAAAAGCCTCGGGAGTCAAATAGCTTTTTCCTGGAAAATCTGAAATTCTATTTGTATCAATGACCATTTTACCCCCTCCCCCCAATCTGGCATGCTAGCAGTGGGAGAGTTGGGTGTTCTTATAGAGAACTGAGCATTGGACCCTTCATAGCAATGGATACACTTGTACAGGAAGACAATTGAGGGGAGGACATGTCCTCCTGCATTTGTTTTTAAAGAGATCCGAATGTTTGCGCTAAATGAAAATGGGGAGTACTAATGTGTATTCTTGTGGCATGCTCCATTCTGGTGTATTTTGGAAGGAAAGCCAGGTTTTTCATTTTGTTCTTCATGTTCTCTGGTTATGTGATAAGTGATGGTATTTAACAGCATAAGCTCTGGAGCCAGCCAGATCTGGCTTTAAATACAGCACTGCTACTCTCTGACTCTCGAAATGGAGAGAGTGGTGATGGTGGTGGCAATAGTGGTGAGGTTGAGTTGGTGGGGGCTAGTGATGGCATTGATGGTGGCAAGGGAGATAATGATAGTGAGTGTGGGGTGGTGGTGAGTGTGGCAGTGGTGCTGAGTGTAGTGGCGATGGTAAGTGGGACAGTGGCAGTGCTTGAGATGGTAGTTCCTGTGATTGGAATGTGTCCCCCTAAAAGTCATTTACTGAGATCCAGTGAACCATTGCAATGGTGCTGAGCTTAATTTAACTATGGTTTGAGCGGTGCGTCCTTTAGGTGGAAATTAAAATTAGAGTAGGGTCCCCATGACTGGATACTCATGGGTTTGTAAGAAGACACAGACACCTGCTCTCTTTAAGCTTTTGCCATGTGATGCCCTGCACCACCTTGGGACTCTACCAACAAGAAGAATCTTACCAGATGTGGCTCCTTGATCTTGTACCTCCAAAGCTATAGGCTAAAAATAGACCTCTATTCTTTATAAATTACCCTGACTCAGGTATTTCTGTTATTAGCAACAAAATGGACGGGAAGAGTGGCTGAGGTGGCCGTATGTTGTGATGGCAGTTGACATGGTGGTAGCGATGTTGGTGAGGATAGCAGTCATGGTGATGGCTCTAGTAATGCCATAATGGTGGAAGCAGGAACTGTAGTGGAACCAGAAGATAGTCATTGCA